ACGCAGGCCATTACTACGCATTCTTGAAGCCTACCAAGGACGGCCATTGGTACAAATTCGATGACGACCGTGTGACCAGGGCCACTGACAAGGAGGTACTTGAGGAGAACTATGGTGGCGAATATAAACTATCTAATGGCGCGGCCGGCGTCCGGCAACCACATACACGGGGTCTGTCGACTAAACGGTCAATGAATGCCTACATGTTGGTCTATATTCGGAAAACGCGCCTGGATGATGTCCTTCTGCCGATTACAAAGGAAGATATCCCTTCTCACATTGGTAAGCCCCGCCATTCTCTTCATACGCGAGCAGACATTTTGACATTAAATCAGAAAAGCGTTTAGTAGAGGAGCGGGCAGAGCTTCTCCGCAGAAAGAAGGAGAGAGAAGAGGCTCACCTGTATATCAATGTCGGAGTTCTATCGGACGAGTCGTACAGGTCACACCATGGATTCGATCTGACGAGCACGGACCTGCCTACCGGCGATCCGGCCCAGCCGAAACAGTATAGGATTCTTCGGGCTCAGAAGGTTGGCGAGTTCGTAGAGCAGCTTGCGGAAGAACGGGGTCTGAACGCAAACCAAATCAGGCTGTGGGTGATGGTGAACCGTCAAAACAAGACGACTCGGCCGGACCAAGCCATCAAAGACCCAGAAATGACGGTGGAAGAGGCCTACGGCAGATTTGGGACTAAAGGGAACCCGTTCAAAGTATGGATGGAAGTTGGGCAACCATCTGCGGATGGAACTATCTCGTGGCCTGACAGCAGTACTTCTGTTCTCGTCTTTTTGAAGAACTTTGACGTCCCGTCTCAGACTCTTTCAGGAGTCGGTGCTGTATACGTCCGCAAGAATCAGAAAGTCGCAGAACTTGCCCCGACAATTCTCGAGAAAATGAACTGGCCTGCCGGAACAGAGTTCATGCTTTTTGAGGAAATCAAGCACAACATGATCGATGTGATGAAGCCGAAGCAGACTTTCCAGCAGTCCGAAATCCAAGACGGCGACATAATCACGTTTCAACGCACAGTCAAAGAATCTGACTTACCACCCAGTGCACTATACACAGATGCGAGGCAGTATTATGACTACTTGCTGAACAGGATAAATATCACTTTCGCTCCCATCAAAGCGACTGATGGCGACGAGTTCACTCTCACTCTGAGCCGAAAGATGACATACGATCAGTTCTCGAAGAAGGTCGGCGAGTACCTCAACGTGGAATCCACTCACCTGCGTTTCGCCCCTGTTCTTGCAAGTACCGGAAAGCCCAAGCAGTTCATTAAACGCAATCCTAACCAGGCCAACCAAACACTGTACCACATCCTTAGTGGGCAGGTCAGTGGCTACGGTTATAGCATGCATCGCCAAGACGCACTATACTACGAAGTCCTTGAGACTAGTCTTAGTGATTATGAGTCGAAAACTACACTGAAAGTAACGTTACTCCCGGAAGGCATTGTGAAGGAGGTAAGTCCACCGTATCGTCGAGCCCTAGGGTCATTTATGCTCACTTTTTCATCAGCAATTGGTTGAAGTCCTAGTGCCTCGGGACGGCACCTTCGCAGATCTTCTGGCAGGTCTGCAGAAAAAGGCAAACCTTGAAGATGATATGGTTCGGGAAATGCGCATCTTCGAGGCCCACAGCGGTAAAATTTACAAGGAGTACCAAGAAGATGCTAAGATCGCTGGCATCAATGAGTACGTGACTTTATACGCCGAGAGGATACCCGAGGAAGAACTTCAGATACAGGACGGCGAACGGACAATCAACGCATTCAGCTTTGACCGAGAGCCGAGCAGGCCACATGGTATCCCGTTCAAGTTTGTCTTGAAACCTGTATGCACCATCCCTTTTCGATCTTTTAGCTTTCACTAGTGCTCACAAACTTTCAGGGCGAGATCTTCAAGGAAACAAAAGAGAGGCTCTCCAAACGAACCGGCATCAAGGGCAAACAATTTGAGAAGATTAAATTTGCTGTCGTTCCCCGGTCTTTGTATTCTAACCCACGGTATCTTGATGATGGTAAGTGTTGCGTTGTCCCTTATGAAGCGAAGAATTGGAGGCGCTAATATAACGATTGCAGATGATATCCTTTCCGACATTGTTGGCGAATCCGACGATCTGCTGGGACTGGATCATGTAAATAAAAGCCGGAGCTTTTGGAGCAGGAGCGAGTCTTTTTTCATTCGATAGATGAGGGGATCTATGCGATGTACTCGGTGGCGACGATTCCTACCATCAAACCTATGCTTATAGATAGCACGCATGCTATTCCTATTGATGCCTCATACTTGAGAAATACCATATTCCTGTTTCGAATATTTTCAAGGTCTGCTGGGCTCCTTAGTCCTCTCCTCGTGCCAATGGCTTCTATGTCTTGGCGTTTTCTTATACGATTTTACACCTTCTTTCAAGGTTTGGCCTAGTGTCCGTTCCTGCAGGAGGCACCAGGATTTGAGCCCTTCCAAACCCGCTTAAATCTGCTTCGTCTCGAGCTCTTAGTATCATAGTTTTATAGTATGGCCCTTATCACTCCACGCCTGTTGTCATCTAACTATGGGGAGGGCCCCATACAAAGTAAGCTTCCTAGTTCCTACTGAATGATAGGGACTAGACCTATTGTGGTATACTGCAAACACAACAAACGCGGCGGAACGCAAAGCTGTCCAGAACTTCCCACTCACTCCTGAGCTCCGTAGAAGTCGCGTGTGTTTGGAGTCAACTGCTTTTTTGTGAAGGGAGCCGCCCCGTTTGACTACGGACCCTCTTCTCTCTTCCCTAACCCACAATGCAATTCTCAGCTGTATTGATAGGTCTCCTGGCCACTCTGGTCTCGACCGTGACGGCTACCGCTTTAACGTACAGACTCGAGGCCAACGAGAAGGCCTGCTTCTATAACTACGTTGACCAGAGGAACGCCAAGGTTGCTTTTTATTTCGCTGTATGCTCTCCTTCTTTTACCCCTGAGAATAGAAAAATGTCAAGCGCAAGGATTTGATAAACGGAAACATGGCTGATAATGCGTTGACTCCAGGTTCAATCCGGCGGCTCTTTCGATGTCGATTACTCAGTTGTCGGCCCCGGAGAGAAGGTTGTCCTAGACGGAACCAAGGAACGGCAAGGCGACTTTGTCTTCACGGCTCAGAGCATTGGGGAGTACCGATTCTGCTTCAACAATGAGATGTCAACATTTGCGGAGAAGACGGTCGACTTTGAGATTGCTGTACGTTCGGGTCCTTGGATACACAGTGGCTGGATTTGTACCGAGGGACTTATCGCATTAACTCGGAGTCTTTGTAGGTCGAGAATGAGGAGCGCGCGCAATTGCCTTCAAGACAAGGTGCCAGTCCCGAGCAGGCTTCGGCCCTTGAAGAGTCCATCTACAAACTGTCCGCTCAGTTGTCGACTATTGCCCGCAACCAGAAGTACTTCCGGACCCGCGAGAACCGCAATTTCAGCACGGTTCGCAGCACCGAGAGGCGGATCTTCAACTTCAGTGTGATTGAGGGCTTGATGATGGTGTCGATGGCGGGTCTGCAGGTGTTTGTTGTTCGGTTCTTCTTCCAGGGTGCGCGGAAAGGTACGTATTCCCTTGCTTACGCGGGCATGAAACCTGGCGCTATGATCTTTTCCGTTCCTTGATTCAAGTCCATATCTGACTGACGTCCTTGCAGGCTACGTGTGATGAATGAACATGAATACTATAGTTATGTCTGTTGAATTGTGGCGTCTACTATTGTATCTATCCCCTTGTCATAGGTTCTAGAATTAGTGCGCCTTTGATGCTGAAGCCTGTTTCCCTTACAAGCAAACTTAGCGACCTCAATCCGTGGGCGGAGAAGGGCGGATTTCATTGTGTAGCAAGCTTTTGTTCTCTTAAATGGGGCTAAGAGCAATCATGCTCCGCATCATTGCGCACCTTGTAACGCTTATGGGGCTTTCCTGACTCTTTGTTTTCATCCGGTTCGAACTAATGCCTGTAGTGCAGCAAGGTTCCTGAGAAATGACCTCACTGATTCCATAAGCGGTTCAGGGCAGCGAACCCAAACGACATGCTCCAGAGTAGGGCTAAGGAGGAAGCTATGAGAGGAGAGCAAGTCGGCGAAGCGAGGTGCACTGAGGAATCAGTTCGAGAGCGGTGTTGCTTGTGTAGAGAATAAAAGCGATATACTGATATGACAACATCCCAGCTATCACTAAAACTGGCAAACTTATTTAGTACTGGCGACCAACTAAGATAGTAAGCTATTCATTTCTCCTCTTTCTACCTACTACCTTATTATATGGTTAGTATGAAGTACTAGAGATATAATTCTCCAACTAAAGTGAATGCTCACTAAGCTATCACAAGTTGACCACCCTACAGAATGTCCGCGCCCATGCCTGCACCTATACCCAAACCCTCTGCAGTTACCCTGTACTATAACTGCTATAACCATGTAATAGTGGTATCTTGATGCATATCACTATAGAGTACGGATTAGCTCCCTGAGTGTTTGCTTACATGTGCGGTTGGAATACATTTTCCTGTCTGTCATATCATACATGACCGTCGCCTGCTTGATCAGGTAATGGGGGTGCGCTGTATCACTACCCTATTACTATTGATAAATATGCTAAATCACCAATGCATGTCTTTTGGCCTGTCATCCAGAAGAGGAAACCTTGGTCATGGGCCCGGTATGCTAGAGAGTGTATAGCACCTCTAACAATAGCAAGAGAGGAAATGAACAAAGGAAGAGATGGTTGAAGGACATATCCTACAGGGCTGAGTAGTGGGATATCACTTAACAGAGTATATGATAGTATTTCCATATGTTTGTCAAAAGGCTAAGTTTAAAAACTGAACTGGAATGGGTGAAAGGATTATATCATTGTATAGGTTTTTGGGTATTCACTGACCTGAGCTTTACTTTATAAAGGTCAGAAACTTCCCACATATTTTGTCTAGCGACTTCCTTTTAATAAAGCTGGCTACTTACAAGGAGATGAGCCATGGAGCCCTCAAATCCTAACTTTGAGATACTTTCTGACTATGAGGAGGAGATGCTGGAGTCTCAAGCTGTGCGGGAGGTTCTTGATCATCTCGCAGTAGGGCTACTCTCGAAACTTGATGTTCATGTTCTCTGCAGCTTTGTTCAATATGGGGAGGAACCCACAGAACAAGAAGAGTTTCGAATGAGCCTGGCGAGGAAACTCTGGGATCAAGTCCTACAACTTTCCACCCTCAGTGGTGTTGGGCGTGCATCCTTGCCATGGTTTCATGAAAAGACCCAGCAATACCTGAGATCCGCTGTTGCCGGAAAGAGGATCAGTGAGGTATGGGTTCATAACTTTCTGTTGTGGGTATGGAACGATATGAAACGGGCAAGGGAGAACGGATCGGAATATCCCAAGTGGTATAACCCAGTCGATCCTTTCGATATTGCTGAGATTCAAGCTCTGGAAAGAAGACAACAGCAACAACAGCCTCCATCTGGGGCCAAGGCGAAAGCACCTTCTAAGACTCCTCGACCGCGCTTTCGCAAGGAGCTTCCTCAAGGAGTAGGGTGGTCTGAATCTGTTATGCAAGAGTCAATGCCGGCTGTGCAAAACCCTGCTCGCTCAGAAGTATGTACGATCAGAGCGCTCTAACATCTTATCTATTCTCTGTTGAGTAATGGACTAACCTAGCTAAAGGCACTTAAAATATCCCACTCGATAGTTTTCCCAGACATACGGAAAACAGCAGAAAGACTCATTTCCACCCTGTCAGAGGGAGCAGTCACTATTCACCCAATGGTCTCGTACCCATTGCTCTTTAACAAGCTTGGCGGAACGCAGAATCTATTGAAAATGATGATGGAGTCCCTAAAGCCAGCGATTCAGGCGCTAGAGGGTAGGAAAATCACACGCATAGAGTAAGTCTGACTCTTCTCTCCCGTCTCAATATTCCTGATCATGCTAAGTCTCTGCTTAGTCTGGACCATATCATGAGCCGACAGGTTTCGCCCTCGTTATGGCCAAGAAGGGGCGGCTACCTTGTATATGTCACGGATGCTGAACAACCAAAATATTGGAGACCATACGTGGGTCAATCCAATGATCTTGTCCGACGAATAAGTGAGCATTCCAAAGCATTTACTGATCAGCATGAGAATACTCTATTATACTGGATCAGCTCACGGAGCTTCCGTCGAGAGATGAACTTTATCCAGCTATGGACGTTGCCTGAGTTTGTCATAAACAGCTCTAAAGGAGTCCGCGATATATTGAATAACATGATGGAAATGCTGATGTCATTATGTTTTCAATCTCTGCCGCAAGCTCAACTTTCAATGTTCTTGGCTGGTCAGGAACATCTGGCAACCACAGGCCTGAATGTCACCTCACCCCTTGTTCAAGGGGTTGTGCTCAGTGGAATTGAAAAGGAGGCATATCGGCTTCAACTCTTAGCCTCAGTCGACCCTGAAATCCGGGCCTTTCCTCAAGCCAGAAAGCAACAATTAATGGAGAAAAACTGGCGCTCATTCTCTGATCAGCCAGTGGAAATCAATTACCAAGATGCCCTTGCTGAAGCATGCAGCTCATTAGGCCTTACTGAGAACCTAGCCTTACCATTTGATGGCAGCCTCCCATGTTCGCGAGAGGATGTGCTAGACTCGAGTATCGACACTGCTCTCCAAGAAGCAGCTTACGAGCTTGAAAAATTAACAGGTAGCACCGTTCCACTTAGCATGCCATTTGGCTCTTTTGCAGCACGGCTTGGGATCATACTAGACCATGATCTCTTACGCAATGATGAGTCTGATATCCCAACTGCCCTCAAAGAGATTGGTTTTCACAATGAGAATTGCCTTGTATGGCCATTCAACCTTCAGAACCATTACCTGGCATCCTCTTCTCAGATCAGACACCTAGGTTCTGAAGCGGACATCTTGCGTTCGCTGAACCACAAAATCATTGAATTATCCAACTTGAGAGTGATAATTCTCTGTGGCGACAATGCCGAGGCCTGTATCTTATCCCCAGAACTGCATCCAATTGACATCAAACTCGGGAATTATCCATATAGGTCGTTTGTGCAGATCAAAGATTCTCGCATTAAGAGAATCTACATCAATGCCTCGGTAGCAGTTTCTTCCCTATACTCAGTCAACTGGAATGAGAGCTTGAGGTTTGCCCTCGCAATAAAATTCGCTACACAGATGACCTCTACCTACAAAATCAGACCATTCCTTTACAGATCCAGGAGGGCGCTCCTTGACATTGTCATCGCGAGCTTCCATGAAAATAATGGAGAAGAAAAGATGACCCCTGAGACAATGCCTCCAAGCATTAAAGCCTGGTTGTTTACAAAAGGCTTTACCTCTGATGATGATTTCAAGAAATTGGAAGATCTAGGCGGAACTTTCACTAAAGGTCTTCTGCTTGCAATGTGCACTTCACCTGCTTGTCCTGAGAATGAGAAGCCTCCATCTGAGAGGCCTATTCTTTCCAAAAATAAGTTTGATTCACGACTTTTTACAAAGAAGCAATTGGATGAGATGCGATCTATTCATAAGCAGAAAAGGTCGGAGATTTATTCCCGATATCCAGGGACGGCAATCGTCACAGACAGTACGGATGTTCCGGAGACATCTTCAGTAAGTGATGATTACGAAGATGAAACTATTCAACAGAATCTCCTGGATAGACTTTCAAATCAGTGTCTGAGCGATGAGGGATCTGTACACAGTGTCATCAAAGATGTCCTTTCAGACAATGTGTATGAGAACATTGCCTCGGAAGTCCAATCTCAACTAACAAAACCCCCAAAAAGAGGAAGGCCTAAGGGGCTTATTCCAGCACACATCAAGGAGCTCAGGGAAAGTGAGAATTGTTGGTGGTGCGACGCAATCCTCGACAAGAGTCGCTGTTGGAACTTTGACCTTCAGGAGCGACTGTGTCATAGATGTGCAATGAATGCCCTAAACTCAGGCCGTCTACAGATCTTGAAAAAGCAGATAATGGAATTGGAAATACGCTGCGGCTGTTGCAAGTCCTTATTTGGGTCACATTGGACCTTCAGCAGTGCGACGAATCTTCCTACATGTTCTCTCAGTTGCCAGTCGATGCTGCTTCACAATGATGAAAGTGAGTATCCAGATCGGTCAGACGCACTGCCAAACTCAGGCGAAGCACGCTATCAAGATCAGTGTACCGACCATTTATTTATGAGGCCACCGCTGGTAGCCTATTTCAAAGATGTCCACGATATCGATACCTCTATTGTATCGCTCGTTGCGAAAAAGGAGTCCAAATCCGAGATTGATTGCAGAATTAACGAGGAATCGCTTTGAGCTGGGCGAATCAATAGGTGTAATGGCGGAGACTCCAAGTTGGCCAGTCCGCAACGGTTTGAAAAACCACCTATTCTCTGAATGCCATTTACTTTTCCCGCATACTCCAACCTTGTCTTGGCTGAATTTTGTTTCTCTGTATGGAATTACGGAAGAGGGTTTTAGAGCTTTCACGCTCATGGTTGAGTTTCTGCTCGAGTTGATACTGGCTAGCTTTCCGAACTATTATGGCAGTGCTTATGAGAAATACGATAGTGATGGATAATATTCAATTAAAACAATGTGCCAACCATTGCTTTTGAATATAGAATATGATCCAGCACTAATCATGGAGATTGAGAAGGACATCCTGCTGTCTTCTCAATTACTGCGAGAATTGCGCTGTTCAGGAAAGGCAGGCTCTTTAAGTCTGCACTCTTCTGCAATTAGAAAAAATTGAAAACCATTGGCTAGTCAATAAGAATAAAAGTGTCTAGTAATGTTAGATATAGGATGAAGAGGGTTTGTATTCTGTTTATTTCTCTAGGGTATTCAATCCACACTCAAATTTCTACTGCGATACTTACCTACAGTAACTGATAACGATGTTGTTATTTTCTGCTTTCTGGCAGCGCAAAAAGCAATGTAGCCCGATTAACTCAGTTGGTTAGAGTGTCAGACTTGTCGGTACCCCTCTTAGTCATCATCTTCTTTCACACATTGCTAATTCCCTTCTAGTTAATCTGAACGGCGAGGGTTCGAGTCCCTCATCGGGCGCTTTATTTTTTTTGCCTCTCCATCCTACTGAATGCCTAGAACTCATCTCTCTTGTCTGTTCTGCTAATGATGGTCTTTTTTCATCAGCCTTTCCGAGAGTTTTGTTAAGGAAAAATATAGATATGCAGGTGATGTAATATGTGAAGTATAGCTTAGGTACCCACACATTATTGACGTACGTCTCGAGACGTAGTAGCAACATTTTTGATGCGCAAAGCAAGAATTTAGTTAGCTTATAAGTCTAAGAACGCCGGAAGTTTCTATCCAATCGCCCGATTAACTCAGTTGGTTAGAGTGTCAGACTTGTCAGTACCCCTCTTAGTCATCATCATCTTTCGCACATTGCTAATTCCCTCCTAGTTAATCTGAACGGCGAGGGTTCGAGTCCCTCATCGGGCGCTTTACTTTTTTTTACCTTGTTATCTCTTTTCGTTTTGACTTCATCTACCCTTTAGAGATCCATATACTCTAGTTTGTCAGGTAAGGGGGTGTCGCTGACCGAAGGGTGTCTCCCTATCCTCAGGTGGTGTCTGGTTATTAAAGCCGACCCACTGCAGGTAGAAAAATTGGACCACCCAGCAGTTCGGGGACAGGCGTCTCGCGTTGTCTCGATGAGTTCCTCTCGAAAGGCAGGTACGCGAGAAACAATGGTACGGAGTACTCCAGCAGATGACGTTTTGCTGCAGGCTTGCCATTTCAAGTGTTGATCCTTAGGTGAAATTCTGTGTTGCGCAGTGTTCATCTCTTCGTCCGTCCCAAACAGTGTGAAATCATCAGACATCATAGGGACCGCTCACCATGACAATTGTCTGAGTGCTATCTACACCACGAAATATCATTCGTACTCGAAGGGTTCTACTTTGGATCTCCTGTGGATAACCATGCTCTTGGGGTGGTCCAATGAACTCCTGTCCTGGATTTGGAATACGAAAAGATGGCCTTCAGAGAAGCGAACAGTGATGGATGGTACGGCATGGAAGAGGGACGGATTATAGTGACTTGACTGATCCAGGGAAGATCTGATACCACTGATCTCATCCGATTTCCAGCAACGTGCTGTTGACTGTCGAGACAACCATCATGGAAATCTAGAACCTTGTTAACGATCAAGCTGCGACCAGGAGTGCCAATCTGCCCTTCTTCGAATACGGTGCCGTTCCCACTTGAGTTTTCTTGGTGCCAACCATCGCCAAGGACCCCTACTATCTCCTCCTAGGACAGGTTCCTCTGCGTCATCAACCCGTCCGCTGGTACTATACTGATGGGCCACGAAATTCACCGGAAGGTCGCGAAATGCGCATGAACTAGTATGTAGCTGTATGACCATATTAGGTGCTTCAACTCCAATCTCCAATATCTGTCGATGTCGACTATTGACAGCCAGAGACCGCAGATCAGTCAGAACATCCGCGTTGCATTCCCTGGCGGACGAAAGTTGGCGACAAACTTCGAGTTAGTGCATTGACAAAATGACAGACATGAGGGGCGGGGTGGCAAAATGACTGCATCACTTTTATTTTCTCCCTTTTCTCTCCATGGTGCAGGGTCCATGGGTTGACCGGAAGACTATTGGATTTTATTGGCTTCGGAAAAGGGTTGCGAGGGACGGAGGGAGCAATATATATTGGGCTACTTTAACTACCGTAAACTATCTTGGGCGGAGAGGCATAAATTAATCATTTACCGACATGGATTGGCTGGAGATTACTAAGTATATTGAGCCGTTAACTTTGGATTGCTGGTATAGGATTCCTTTGCATATCGCCTTAAAGATTGCCATGATGTCCAATGGGTTGACAAACCCGAAGGTTGTGGCTGCGGTAGGTACTGCGCATTCCACCTCCAGTAGTCTTAGTTCATCCAGTTCGTAGGTATCGATACTCCGCGCACTGATCATCTGTTGTCAAAAGCTCCGAGCTCTTGTGTCACAAGACATTTTTGTCTTACAATTATTGCAAATCTTTATAGATAGCGATAGAGGTTTCACATTCAATATGCTTGTATTCCAAGTTAACTACAAGAGTCTTCGGCTTCCAGCAGATATATAAGGTAGCATATATACCTAATGTACCCGTAGACTGTAGCACAAGCCACATGACATCATTCAGTAACCTCAAACGCCCAGGCTTGTGTCTTTTTCTCCACCACCAGAAATGACAAGATGGAAATCCATCGAAACTTCACCCGGGCTGATGGCGTAGAGCAGGAAGCAACTGAAGAAATGAGGTTCCGATCTACAGCTTCAACCACAATCTGTTCTCTGTTCCATCCACCTGCCTACCTGCCTAGGTTATCCATTGAGCGACTGACCAAGCGATTCTGAGAACCTCACATTGGCTGATCTCTCGGTCTGCTCGTTGAATCATCAGTGGACAATTGTGACCAGTACCAATCCTCTCGTTCTGCGCCTATCCACCTGTTTTACAGAATAGCTCTAGGCCTCTAACGGCCATGAGCCTGACGCTACCCTCGATTCGTTGCGGGATACTCTCTGCATGGACTGCCTATTATTCGTCCTTCCACAGACGAGTTGCCCGACGGGCTGAGGAATACTTGTCTTGCTTTCAAGCTAGTTTGAATACACTGCACCAAGCCACCAGGATCAGACTCGCATCCAACTAATGATTTAGCATAACAACTGAACTTGATTCATTGGCACCTCTGGTCCTATGTTTCTTAGAATGGATCAACACAGTTTGCCTGTGTAGCTTCCGGATAACCATACAGACGACAATCTCTCAGCAACGTCTTGAATGCCTGTCTCGACGGCATCTAGGCCACTGAGACTCCAATTACAACGGATCGACCACATTGACAGAATTGTTTCCCAGTGGTGATCTGCAGGGACGGTTTGCCTCGTCTTGTCGATCGAAAAGCGCCATCAATTTCTTTTGGTCCACTCCCGACCCTCCAGTGACCTCATTCCGGTCCCCCGTAAGACCATCTGGGGTCCGCCGACCCATCAGATTGTGGTGGAGTCTGTTATTATTGCCAATCCCAGCCATCCTGAGAGTACAATGCCCCCTAAAAAGCATTAACTACATGACAGCGTCCCGTCGATTGTATTATCACTGACGAGTCCGAGCAAACAGAAAAAAAAAATCATCCAAAATCCTTTTCCCTTTCCGTCTTCTTTTCTTCCTCTAATTTTGTGTCAGTACTGTTGGCAGGACGTCCTGACCAATGATGTCATCCTATTTCGAGCCTCAGAGGACTCCCAGTCTCCAGCAATACTGGACGTGGGTATAACCCCCCGATTTGGGTATTGATCGATGGTTCGCCTGCCTGTGGGTCGGGATGAGATATGCCAGTCAAGCTCTTTCTTACCCTTTGCCTTTCGGTAGTGCTGTCACTGGGACTGTGATCTCATATCAGACCCGAAGGGGGATATATGCCGTTACTCGTCGAGAATTACCCTCGAAAATATTGATGCACGAAGATACAATATTCCAAGTGACATCTGTCTTACCCATTCTGTGTCTGCATCAAAACCCCGTGTCCAAGCCACATCCGTACTAGTCATACCTAGACCCTAGGGTATTTGCGTGTCTTTCCCCTCCTGACACATCCTGTGCTTCGTTTTCTTAGTACTCCCGTTCATCCTCATCATTGTCCTTGTCTGTGTCCTGCTACTTCTTGCGACTTCGGTCTAACTGCTTGTCCTTCGTCCTGTGTGGCACTTGTCCCTCTTGCTGACTCTTCACGTGGAAAAGGTGAGCATGCAAACTTTTTATCGCGTCCCACCCAAAGAGTCTTCCTCCCTTCCCCCCACTCTCTCTCTGGTATATTACTTCTCGCTGCTGTTGAGGAGCAGTAGCAGTAGCAGCAGCAACGAGGCTGAAGCATATCTGAAACCGTCTACGTCATGTCATTAGCAAACGACGATGACGATTCTGTCCCACGCAGTCTCCCCATATCACCGGCTGATATGTTGTAGAGTGACTAAGGCACTGGGAGGATGATCGGTATCAACAAGACTGACAGTGTCTCATAGAAAACAACGCAAGGCAAACTCAGGGCCATGCAGCAACCCAAGAACACGGACCCAACTTTCCCCGTTGACGGAGGGGGATGTCGACCTCCGGGCGAGACCCACGTTGAAACCCAACGATCGGTGGATCCTAATATATCTATTGAAGACTACAACCGCGCTATGCTGCAGTATACCCAGCGACGCATGTCGACCTTCCTGGACATGGGCAACGACAGCGGTCCTCCTCCCAGTCGCAGCAGCCGGAGTAGCGACAGCAGCGGCAATAGTGGTGTGCTGGCCCGTCAGGCTGCAGGCCCCACCTCTCTGGAAGCCTCTCACCATCGCAAGTCCCAGACACCCGGTCATAAACCCGTGAAGCACGCTGGCGATCCGAAGACAGGGCTTTAAATGTCCATGTTCGTGAGCGAGGCTCTCTGACAACGACTACGAGTTTGGTATTGCGGGATCAAATGTCTCTCATATGTCGTTGCCACTAGCCATGATGACCACGATGATGCGGTGTTTTCTTTCTTCGATGGAAGAATTGTTGGTGCTTTCATGGGAAGCTTCAATGGCAAGGAACTTTGTGCCTAGTCGATTTTTCCGACGTTTTGATGAGTTAGCGAGGAAGCGTTCTATGATTTTCTAGCGACAGCGAGGCGATCCTTTTCGAGCGTGTTTTCTCGAGCTCTGTCGCCGAGATCGTCGCACCCTTGCTTGTTCAACTGCCCCTTTTGATATTTTTCATACCATAGAACACCCTTGTTCCTACAGTTGATCCGACGATGCTTATTTTTCCTTCTCCGATTCCTGGCACTGATACATGCGGCATAGTAGAAACCAACCATCTCCGACAGCGTTCATTTTCACCTTCGAAACCTCTTTTTGAGGTTGTTCATTGGGAATTCCTTCTAGGTGGCTTTATCAAGTGGCTCCCCAGTTGCTAACCCCTCCCGTTCTGCTCTGACTTTTCGTCAGTTTCATTTCTTGTCATTTGTTTGGCCTGACAAAGGCGTCCAACCGTTTCGCACTCACCTATTGATTGTAGCTGTCCGGCGTTTGTCTTCATATCCTGACAGCAGACAGTCAATCAACAAATTTGGTTCAACTTCACCTCATCCCAGGATATCTCTGCTGGTCCATGATTCATCTTTTCAGGGGGAGAGAGAGTCAGGTCTTTGTAGACGACATTGTTCCATTACTGCCGGCGTGATTTTTCTGGTCGTTCTTGTCCAAGGGAACTGGTCTTCCCGTTATTGACTATATCTTGTCACGATGCTACGGCCTTCCTGCTCATGATGTGTTCTATATGTGACTCGCGGCTACGTTTAGTGAACCTAGGGCAGCGGCTCGAGGATTTACGCATGGTATTAATGTCTTATTAGGTTCCTTTTTTGGGCCAACTAGGGTCGACGCTGAACCAATTGTAGGTATTGCTTCGAAACGTAGGTCCAGAAGCAAGGCTCGAAGTTTCTGCCCAATGTTGTCCCTTGCATGGGCAGGGCGGCTGACTCGACCGATCGATCACTCACCTTGAAGGAGACAGCATCACCATTAGCCATCCTGACTCTATTCCGAAATGCGTGAAAGGGATGAGCATGAACCAATAACAACAACTTCGCCCTTGATACAAATCAGAGACTGCGCACTGTTTGAGACAGAGGATAGTCGCAGTCATATACCTTCAGAGATGCTGCTTCAATGCCAGAAATGCGATTTTCTCATTGGCATTCAAATGGCGACCTCTGCACGGCTCCCGATGGATCTCGCGCTTTCCATTCATACTAGATCTGGACTGGAACAACATTCCATATGAACAAATTTGATGCTCAAAACACCGGTCATACCAATCACGTCCATCCATACCTGTTTTGGACATGTGTTCCAAACATCGCGTTATGGTTCACAGTCAATGAAACAGGGACAATGACAGTTCTACCTACAATGTCTTGGATAATCGACACCTTCACGTAACCGATCCGACATTTTCACCCTCGTCTTGCCTTCGAAAACACGATAGTATATTTCTCAGACTCTACCAACCAACTCGCATCGCAATCCAACGTCGAACTCGCCGACGCGCCAACCACAACCTCGAGTCACGAACAGAGTGATAATCAACCAAAATGCGTCCTCTAACTATCCTCTGCGCCCTCTCTACACTCTCAACCACACTCGCGGTCCCCTTCTCCCAACCGTCTAACTCAACCAGCGCATCAAAATCGACCCCCTCGTCAACTGGGTCGGCGACTCTACCCTCGCCAACACTCAGCGCACCTAATTCCTGTCCCGCAAACAAGTTCAAGCAATGCTGCACAACCCTCAGCCAGCTAGGCGACAGCCTCCTCAAGCCATTGGGCACGATCGTTCCGCTCGTGGGGGCGATCCAGGTGAATTCGCTGGTTGGGCTGTCGTGTAAGTTCCTTTCCTCTTTTATCATCAGGTGTATTTCCCCGCCTGTCTGACCGCATGGACTGATCTCATTCTAAACAGGCAAGTCAATGGCGGACAAGGCCCCAGAAACCGACTGCGCGGATGTAGTCATGTGCTGTGATTCTTCGGCTCTTGTGAGTGCATGCTTCCTTCAATTCAATTCCGCGAGGACGGAAATTGAAATGGGGATGGAATGGAATGGAATGGAATTCGCTGATGGCTGACCTTGGTTTTTCCCTTCCCAGGCCGCGGACAATTTCATGCAGACTTCCTGCCAGGACTTTGCGATCGCGAAGAGGAAGGAGCGGGAGGCGTTTGAGCGCCAGCAGAGGCGGTTTGAGCTGTATCAGAGCATGGTGATGTCGGAGTCTGCTACCCCTAGCCCGACGCCGGTCGGTCTGATGGGCTCGTCTGTCTCGAGGGCGACGGCGACGGCGACCAGGGTCTAATGCGGACTTTTGTGATGTATGAAGGAGGGGTGTGGATGGTATGATATGGGCGGGCCATGGTGAGGATATTGGCCTGCTGTCCTCCGAGTGCTCTTTTTCGTGCTTGCAGGCTTTTTGTTGCATTTCTTACATTCCTCTGGTGTGTCATAGCATTATACCGATTTTGCAAGGTTTGGAGACCGGATTGTAATATTATTTTTCTCCCGCGATTGTGATTGCTGCAGGAGTGTCATACTCGTTTAAAATATATTTCATGCACCATTAGAATGTAAAGTTAATGTACAGTAGATCCTTGACCCGCCTACTTCTACCTCCAGCCCCGGCCAGACGGTGGGTATCCCCCACCATACGGGTTCCACTGACCTGACGTACCCCGTCCCTGTCCCCCAGGATGAGGAGGAGGGAAGTGATTAGACCCCGGGGGCATCTGTTGTGCCGAGCCCATGTTCCACGGAGGGAACTGCCCTTGTGCGGCAAAAGGTGGCGGAAATGCAGACGGGTTCATTTCCGTGCCCTGAGGAGGAAATTGCATCGTCGGCAATGGTGGGGGTGGGGGTGGAGGCCACTGGCCTTGATAATTTGGTGGGCGAGGTGGATGAGCACCTGGTGCCATTCGTGGGGGAAACGCAGGTGGAACGGGCGGCATGTTCCCGCTGGGGTGGAAATGCATAGGCGGTGGAGGCGGAGGCTGAGAAGGGTGAAATCCCTGAGGCCCTGTGCTGCTGTATTGGGGGCTCTGGCGTTCAGGGGGCGGATATCGGGGAGGGGACGGTGCGCGTGGAGAATAGGACCTCTCTCGGGACCGTGATCTTCGTGGAGAACGAGAGCGAGAGTCATAACGCCCTTCATGTCTGCGCGGAGCCGATCGGCTACGGGAGCTTGAGCTCCTCCATCGGCTGTCGTCGCTTTCTGAACTGCCACTGTAGCGACGTCTCCTTGACGGGCCGCGGCTGCGGCTGCCACTCCGAGTGCGGTTTCTCGAGCTGCCCTTGGCTCGTCTTTCTTTCATCTGCCGACAAAAGGCACGCGACCATCCGTAGTACGTGTCGCCACCTAGAATGTCTCCCGTGGAGCTATCTCGGATAATTGTCTGGCCCATTTCATCAATGTCCACTACTTCGGTCTCTTTCTGCTCTGTTTGTCCCGAGTTGTACATCCGATCGACATCCTTGAGAAATGCCTTGAGCGCCGTCACCAGTTTCTCATCCGCTGGTCCAGCCAGGAACTGCAGAGGCTTGATTGTATCTGGGCGTAGGGAAACCGTCGAATCGGGAATGATGTGCGGGACAAGATTGCCGGCTGGGAGGTCATAATAGGGAGTAGAAGAATCTCCGTGAGTCGACGGCATCACAAAAGGGATATTCTTCACTGCAGGTCGGTTGTCCGTGTTGTTCTGCTCGACATCGATGGATGACTTGACTGGCCCAGACACAGCCGAGTTCTTGACCACCTCGCGCAGCTTGTTGACATAGTCGGCACCGTAGTACCCATTTTTATCCCATATGTCCAGTAGATCGTCTAAGCGCCTGTGATGTTTTGGGTTCTTGGATCGATCGTAGGATGCAGCGTAACCCAGTAGTTCCACGATATGCGGTTGTAGTGAACCACTCAGGGTGGAGAATGCCGCAGGGGTGTCCGTATGGTACTTGGTATGATGGAAAAGATCGTTGAGCAGATACAGAATATGCAGCCTCTTTCTTTTTGACGAGGTGCCAGACTCTGCCGGCTTGGACGGTTGTCCACTTTCCCCGCTGGTAAACGAATTGGACAGAGCAACCAGGTATTTAGCCCAGACACCAACGCGGTTAGATGACGAGACGACATAATTCAAGAGCCATGTCTTGCATTTCTAATACACGTCGGGAGCGAAAAGTTTAGTATTCCAGTAACACCGACGGGTAGGACTCGACAAGTCAAACCTGGATGTTCGCTACGGAGCAATGCGACAGCGCCGCGTCAAGCAGAGTGTGGAAGGCTGTGATTTCATCGCGCGGGACAGAAGTGGGGTCAGGGCGTAAAAGCCCAGCTGAAAAAGATGCCTTCGCAATGGCAACTTGATGAGAGGCCATTGCTATGGTAAGTAGGAGAGCAAGAGGAGAGTTGCCGGGTAGAAGAATATGATTGCAGCGACATTTCGGACTCGATCGCGGGATCTCCGTCTGTTGCACGTGATCTGGCTTCACATTGCTCGTAGTTCTCGCACTTCTTCGTCCATCTACGCTAAAGGCCTTTCAGACGATCATCTTAGCTCCAAGGGCAAATGTGGGCTTTCAGCGCTCATATCTTTTCTCGAGGGATACACCAGTCGAATTCCCCGGATGATGGTTGTAAGTTGGAGAGTGTGGCAAGATCACCTCTCAGATGTTGAAGTATAAGTATTATGCCTCAGGCACTAACAGTTACTAGAGACAGTCCAAAAGGAAGATACAGATTCTTTCGATGGTATGATTTTCACTGATGAGTCAATCTCAACAAATTCATCAGCAGCAATAATGGACCAAATGGACGCCATTAACATATGCTGGTTTCGGAAAAGGGAATCCGGCCATCAGCCCTAGCCATGACTCGCCGAGATAATTGCTTCAACGGCTCCATGGACTGCATGGTCCTAAGTTTTAGGACAACATATGTACCTTGGTATATAGAGCACCACAGCACGCTTCTCGTCGGCCCCGCAGTGATTCGTCCGGCTGGATCTCACGATCATCTGCCTGTCGATGGCGTGAGGATGTACCTCCATTACGTGTACCTGCTCAGGGTCATGGTAGTAAGGTGTTAGGCTCCGAAAAAGCTACCTTGGGTGTTGTATTTGTTGCTGTCAGCAAGGTATCTAGTAGTAGTGTCTCTGGCAGACACTGACAGTCTCCAAAGTCATAAGTCGTTTCCGTCACTAAGAAGCTCAAGGTTTATGAAAGTTGAACGAGTGTGACCACTCGGCCCCCGCCTTCCGATCCATCTGTCGACGGATGTGTAGGAGATTGATGATCTGATCTGACTCTGACCTCGCATCCATTTTCTACAATAATTAATTTTCGCTCGCGAGAGACTTTACCTTCCCCTTTCAAGTTCACGCCACTCTTCCTTTCCCTGCCATCATCACTCAAAGTGGGTCATTGTTGATGGATCGCAGTCTACACTCCACCCAGGGTTGCAGGTGAGGTTGGATTGCATGTTGTAAGTACCCTGAGAGGCTCCGAGTGATTTATATTTAGGCGTGTAGAACCATGATATGATGTTCATATAATCTCGGCTGGTTCTTGTATCATTTCGCATTTTCTCAGGCTGCCGACTCACTATCGAGTCTCTCGATACTACCCACGCAAAACATCTAGAATCGCTCAGTATACACCTCCACCAAGCGCTTATCAGCAGACATATTATTTCCGCAACAACCAAACGCGCCTGAAGAAAGCATAACGAACCTCTACCTCTACAACAGAGCCATTCAACGCAAACAACCTTCTTGTTTTAAGCTCAGCGTCAAAATGTCCGTTTCAATTCCCATCCGTCCAGCAATCCGCCATTTCTCTGTCCGCCGTCCTCCACCCGACACTCGCACTTCCAGATTCATCGCCAGTTCCTGTCTTGTCTCCGCAGTCCTTCTCCCTTTTGTACCTCCGGCGCTGGAGAGCTTCCGCGAAAAGGACACGACTTATTCAAACAAGTGAACTTTCCCCTGTACACTGAACTCGCCAATTCCCTAGTCAGTATACTGATGTTGTTTCAGACTGCATCCACCTCTTTGCTTCCATGCTCGTTGAAATGCACAAACTATGGGGTTTGGACATTTCAACTGAGGTGCTTGTCCCTAAATTTGGGAACCGTTATTACGTCTTCCGGTTTACTTCGAGGGCGCTGTCAGCGGGTTACTGGCAGCTTTGACGCAAATATATGAAACGGTCAATGAGACTAACTAGCGGGCCATGCATAGTTGTTCGGCGTTACTGGTGCTCTGATATTGCTTCTATGGGTCTCAGTGGGATTAATGAATATCCGTATGTTTTCAACTAGTTAAGTCTGAAATAAGACACAATATCCATCTCAAACAAAAACATTAATCCATAATTCAGGGTGATGGTGACCTATTGCATTCACTATTACATATGCATCTGGATGATGGCATGATGCCTGTAGCCTCATTTGATCTTCAGTCTGAAAGGTCATTGGTGGTATGAGGCGAAGATAGTGCAGAAAAACATAGAGAATATGGTACATAGTTTATCACATCCAACGACGGTGTATTACTACAACCGTTTAGGTGACTTTTTCATACACCTTCCTTTGACGTGCCATCGGTGAACAAAACCAAAACATCGCTCTAGCTGAGTCGGTTGCCCCTCGGAGGTCGAAACGGCTGAGTAGCCTCATATTTCCCCTTCTCGAGTACCCGCTCCGCTTCTGTCTCCGGCTCGTGACGAGTCGGTGCAGGATCATGACCTGCCTCTGCACTAGGCGAAGCGACATCATCCGCTGCACTCTGGAAGCGAGCCATGTTCGCCCGTTTCAAGCTGGGGTTTTCTGACGGTGCGGTGATCGGCTCGTTGAGAGAAGATTGGCGTCGGTGTTCTGCTTCCATCGCGGCAAGCTGCGCCTTCTTCTTCAATTCTGCTTCATATCTGGACGCACGGTCCGCATTGATGGACTTTTTGGCAAAGTAGTAGGCTCCGCCGCCAGCTGCAGGATTGTCAGTTGCTGGTACTCCTCAAATAACTTGCAATAGCTGACTAGCGGAGCAAAAGTTAAATGACACACTTACCGACGCAAAGAGCTCCCCAGCCGACCCTGTTAAAATGCCAACGATGATTAGCAAGGCGTCTCCTTCTCTCTACAATTGCTGAATGGAACTGTGCAGGTAGTATCTGCTCACCAAGTTGATCGGATCTACATAAAGATGAGGCCCCCAACAAAGTCAATGCTAATATTCTTGCCCAACGATATTCAGTCTTAGAGTAGTACATACCGTATTCATTTTCAAAATGTGATTTGAACGTGTGCAATATGTGAAAATTCTAAAGTAGCAGTGCCGATGAAGTGAAATCGAAGCACCCTAGCTCGGAGATCCTCACTACGTCAACCGGCCGAAGACCACTTCCACCTCGACCAATCATAGTGGAGCTCTCCTACTCCGCCACCCGCTGAATGCCTGAGGCTGCTAAAGAAGAAAGGCGTCATGCTTCTTTTCCTTTTGATTTCTAACATCTCTCAAGCTTTATCTTCTATTCACCCTCATCATCACCTTCGCTGCCCATTTCGGATCGCTCCTCTCGATACCTCGCTACTCGATTTAGCGGCTCAAGCTGTCTGCCGACTTGCAGCTTGTCGAGGGATGACTATCTCCCGAACAGTCACTTGAGGCGCTGGTAGCCTCATCGAGCATCTGCACTCGTTTCGTTCGTTCACAGAAGATTTCCACACGCTATAACATAGACGATATATATCACTTCCTGCGGTAGAAGAATACTTTCAAAAGTCATGCCTCCTAAACGCAAGGCTACGGACGGTATGGCTTCAGTGACGAAATATGTCTGGATGGAAGGCTGACCATCGGCTAGGCGGTCGGTCAAGCAGGGCTTCGAAACGGGCGACTCCTGTGCCGGGAATTGAGGATATCGGCAGCAGCGATGAATACTCGGACTATGTGGATGAGAAGGAGGACAATCTGAAAGGCAAGCGCAAGCGCATCTTATATGTGTAACAGGCCATGTCAGATTGCTGACAGTCTCTTATACAGATGTCGTGGACAAATTCTCCCTCGAGTCTTTCAGCAACAAGAAAAACCCGTCTGTTTCGAAACACGATCCGAACTTTGGTTACAAAGACTTCTCCTCGCTCTCCCTGAAACCGGACCATGCGAACCGTCCTTTGTGGATTGATCCGCTGAAAGGCACCATCACCCTGGAGAGTTTCTCCCCACTGGCGCCCCAGGCACAAGACTTTCTGACCACGATCGCCGAACCTCTTTCTCGCCCGACGCACTTGCACGAATACCGTTTGACTGGGAACAGTTTGTATGCGGCCGTGTCCGTTGGCCTGCAGCCCGCTGACATCATCAACTTCCTTGATCGGCTGTCCAAGACGCCCCTTCCCGATACCATCAAGTCGTTCATTATTGACTTCACCAAGTCCTACGGAAAGATCAAGGTCGTTTTGAAACACAACCGCTTCTTTGTGGAAAGTACGGACCCTGCGATGCTTCAGATGCTCCTCCAAGATGAGGTCATTGGGCAACAAAGAGTGAATGGTTCTGAGGGAATCATCCAGCAAGCGGCTCCAAAAATGGGTGGGCTTGTGATCCCCGGAACCAAGGATGCTGCTGGTGTACAACAGACCTCGGAGGAAAAGCCAGCGAATGGCGTCCCGGGCCAAGATCGAAAAGAGGATGATATTCTTCTCGCTATTCGTGATGATGATGACGACGATGAACAAGCCCAAGTGCATAGCTTCGAGATTCCGAACGAAGCTGTGGAGTCTGTCAAAGCGCGTTGCCAGGCCATGGGTTGCCCCGCCCTTGAGGAGTATGATTTTCGAAATGACGAAATCAATCCGACTTTGGATATCGATCTGAAGCCCAATGCCCGGATTCGGAGCTACCAGGAGAAGAGCTTGAGTAAGATGTTCGGTAACGGACGTGCAAAGAGTGGCATTATCGTTCTGCCATGTGGTGCGGGAAAGACGTTGGTAGGCATCACGGCTGCCTGCACGATCAAAAAGGGAACGATTGTTCTCTGCACGAGCTCCATGTCGGTTGTCCAGTGGAGGAATGAGTTCTTGCGCTGGTCAAATATCGACCCTGGTGACATTGCGATTTTCACCTCCGACAACAAAGAGAAGTTTCGTCGATCCACTGGTATCATTGTCTCGACGTATTCAATGGTATCTCAAACAAGGGCCCGTTCGCACGATGCCCAGAAGATGATGGATTGGATCCAATCGCGCGAATGGGGTCTTATGATTCTCGACGAGGTGCACGTCGTGCCAGCATCCATGTTCCGGAAGGTCACTTCGGCCATTGCGACGCAAAGCAAGCTGGGTTTGACCGCGACTCTGCTGCGTGAGGACGACAAGATCAAGGATTTGAACTTTTTGATTGGTCCCAAATTGTATGAAGCTAATTGGATGGAACTTGCTGAGCAAGGTCATATCGCCAAGGTCCAGTGCGCTGAGGTGTGGTGTCCAATGACTACGGAATTCTACACGGAATACATGAGAGAAAAGTCGCGAAAGGCCGCTTTACTTTACATCATGAACCCCCGAAAATTCCAGGCCTGCCAGTTCCTGATTGACTACCACGAAAAAAGAGGTGACAAGGTCATTGTGTTCTCTGACAACGTGTACGCCCTCGAACGGTATGCGCTCAAACTGAACAAAGCCTATATCTATGGTGGGACTCCGCAAAACGAACGAATGCGGATTTTGGAAAATTTCCAACACAATGAGCAAGTCAATACAATTTTCCTTTCCAAGATTGGAGACACATCGTTGGATTTGCCGGAAGCCACCTGTCTGATTCAGATTTCCTCGCATTACGGTTCGCGACGTCAAGAAGCGCAAAGACTCGGTCGAATCCTGCGAGCTAAGCGCCGCAATGACGAAGGGTTCAACGCTTTCTTCTATTCACTCGTGTCCAAGGACACCGATGAAATGTTCTATTCATCGAAACGGCAAGCTTTCCTCGTTGACCAAGGCTATGCGTTCAAAGTCATCACCCACCTCCAAGGCATCGAGAATCTGGAAGGGCTCGCATATGCCACCCCTGCCGAGCGCCGCGAACTATTACAGGAAGTCATGCTGCAGAATGAGACGTCTGCCGAGGTCGAGAATGTCACGGACGATCTCTTTTCGGAGCGCTCCGGCGGACTGAAGGGTAGAACCAGGGGTGGTGTTAAGAGGAGCGCAGCGACTCTTAGTGGGCTGGCCGGTGGCGAGGACATGGCCTATATTGAGTACAACAAGAGTAGGAACAAGCAATTGAAGGACAAAGCAGGCCACCACCCACTGTTCAGGAAATTGGAACGCGAGCGCCTGAAGCGGAAGAAGGAGCTTCAAGATATCATTCGGTGATTGGCTACATACAACTCGCGTCACAAAGAGACTGCAACCTTTCGCGTTCTGAATCAGAATGAATCTAGATCATTTCGAATACACATTATGATTATATAAATCTCTCCGCGAATGAGCTGGCCGATCGTCTATTCTAGCTGAATATTAAGCGTTCCATCATGTAACCCTAGGACGCATGATGAATACGGATTGTAAGCAACGAGATTGAGACTGAGACATTTTGTAGACCTAGAAGGGCATGCTTGCTAATCATTCCTCGACCATGATGCGCTACTCCGTACTGCTGCAGAATACGAGTAGTTACCCCGCCCTGTCAGCTTTACACTGCAATAATAATACGAGATGTAGTCTGTCGTGCTATCCGTGACGCTGACCTATCAATATCCTCAAATGACGTAGTGTCGGCCACCCAAGCCCCGAGACGCCGAGCCCCCGCTCAAGCTCGAGAGGAGAATATTAGGTATCATGGCTCTTGGGCAGTCAAATAACAAACTTCAGATAAAGGTTGCATTTTGATTTGTCCCCGGACGCCGAATATAGCTTAATGATTTGCAGGGTCATATGCCGGCTTATTCATGCATCGACCACGCACGGGGCCTAGATGCATTGATCTATGTCATCGATTCGTAACATTTCGCTCGTCAGTGCTTGAGAGAAAGGATATATTAGGTCCAGTGTGTCTGGGCTCCAGGAGTGTGTCTACTTCTGCTGAAGGGCGTGGAATACTATTTTCCTCACTGTCTGATACAAGAGTGAGGTCCAAGTGTACATATTCGAGCTCGTGTCTTACGCGGTATTCTTTTCCTTCAACGAACATACCTGGTCCGAGTGTCAGTCGCAACAGCTCAACGATGGCTACGGCAAAGAAGATTCAGTTGTCGACGGCCAACTCGGGCATTTTCAGCGTGGAACTGAGGGAGGACTCTGCGCGCGTAGTAAGTGAGGTGCTGCAAGATGATCTGGAGAACCACCATGTGTTCTTCAACGAGAGCGGATTTCATAGTGAGTCTGCGGATTGAGATTCTGGTACCTTCGGATCAACTGGAGTCTAATATTGCCTTTACTGCTGCACAGACCATATTGTCCACCATATTCTGACGATCTATGCGCTTGGTGCGACGCCGGATGAGATCGGGGCTGCTTATGATCGGAATAAGACGTATCAGCGCCCTGTCATGCCGACAACCCAGAGTGTAGTTGAGTCGATGCATGACAAGAGCCAATTCCAGCAGCACCTCGGCAAAGAAAAGAACTATCCCAATTACTTGGCTTTCTTTCAACAGGAGATTGAGAAGAAAGGTGTGGCGGATGTGCTTAACGAGTATCTGTTTTCGGGGAGCGAGAGTGCAGAGACTATGTTTGCGCGCCTGTTTGGTGGTGAGTGGACATGCAGTCGTTCAAGTTATTCTTCGAATTGACACAGATGTTAGGACTCCTTCATCCGCTGATCCACCTTGGGTTCGGGCTTGAGTTCGACCAGCCCGCAATTGTCGCTGAGGCTCTCGCACAAACCGCCGTACATGAGGACTGGATTGGTCGGTTATACCTCCTGCCGGTAGAGAAGGCCGCAGGAGGGATCGGCAAGCCGGGAAAGAAAACGATGCTGCAAATCTTGAACGAGATCCGCGCTGATAAAAAACTAGCTGAATCCGTCAAATGGGAAGATGGGAACAAAATCAGAGACGGCGTTTTGAAGCGAGCACCAGATGAGATGATTAAGTATGCAGCACAATTTTCGGTCTCCACCGAGCAAATGGAGGAGAAACTTGCTGAACTTCTCAATCTAGTCGGTAAGCATCGCCGCCTTCAAGAGCTCTTACCCGCTACTATAATGAGCTTCCAGATCAATGGTAGCTAACTATCTATGCAGCTTACTTTACAGGTGCCGCTCAGCGTCCGCCAAAGCAGGTCAAGCTTGACTTCTTCTTGATGCACTGCGTGACTTCTTCAATATTCCTTTCCAAGATCGTCACTCTTCCGTACCTGGATATGCGCACCAAGCTGCGTGTGCTTGAGTGGAAAGGCCGTGCAGATCTGGCCTTCTACGTATCCCGGGGAGTTCCCAAGCTGCTGCTGGAGGAAGTGACTACATACGAAGCTCCGAATGATTGGAAGACAATCTTCCATGTGAGCAGTGTACACCCGCGTGAAGATGGTCATTTGTCGAAGCTTCTCAGGGCTGTAGCAAATGGCGAGAAGGTCTGTCGTCCGCTTGAGACTCGAGCAGAAGAGCTAGGACTTTTGATTACCGGGGACATGTGGCTGAAGATTGCAAACATGGGTAAGCGAGACACCTGGATGATCTGTGCTCTTAAGACCATGTTTCAGAGCTTCGCTGATTGACAATCCTCGCACTAGCTATCGATTCAACCAAAGGTGATCAAGTGGACACAATGTGGGTTCGCTCGACGGGGTTCGAAGAGGCATGGAAGAACTTCCATGACCGACCTCGCCTATGAGCCGGCAAGCCCATAGAAACCGAGTATTTTGATAATGAATCAATCCATTAAGGCCGGTACCCCAACTGACAGAGGCTCACAGACTGATTAAGGAGGATCCGGTCCTGCAATTCAACTGTCATTCCATGTCACAACAACGACTCAATACCAGATAATTTGTTTGATTTACCGAGTACTCTGCAACCTCGGACGTTGAAGTATGGTTTGAGCGATTTGTTAGTCTAGCGTTTAGATCTAAATCAAGGCGGGTGGGTCTGCCTAGTAAAACTGCAATAATAAAATGTCTTACCCGATTCCCAACAGGCCAACAGCAGTCGAATCTGCGAGCATGCTCTTACCAGCGTCAAGCTTTTTCTATCATCTTGGACGAGATCGTAGGCAGTTAGTCTGCTTCTTGGAAGAGTCAAGTATTCCATCATTTCATATCGTTTTCACAGTAAATGTGCTGGATCGAAAGACGCAGAAAGAAACCGAAAGTTTGCTGTGTTTTGGGTGACATCACGTGGTGATTACGATCGAGGACAAGTGGGGCGATCCCCAACAGCTTCGGCCGCTTTAGAAGGCATCTTGCAGTTGATAAGCCGTCATTTTCACATCACTACACGTTCGACGGCAGTTTGAACTACATACGCGAAACATCCAATATCTAATCATCAACACCATGGCAGGCGAGGAAGACGACATCAACAGGACGAACAACCCTTCTCCATCCACCGAAAGAATCCACGACCACAACCCGTTCGTTGCGTTCCGGCGTTATGCTGATGAACAGATCTCGTCCATGCTGCAGTCTGTAATGGGCCTTCCATCTTCGATCTCCGCTCCTCATTCAAATCATTGGGCTATCTTCGCCGAAGAGAACAATTATAGAGAGCCCAACTACCGCCAACGACAGACTGGCGAAGGCAAGGACGGTGGATATCCCTCAAGCTCCGGGACGGGCGCCTCTGGAAACACAGACAACATAGGTCAGGATGACAAGCCACCTGAAAGCTCTCGGTGGCCGCGGTCTGATGATCCTTGGCGTTCGCATCACCATGGACGATTCGATAGACCCTCCGATTACTTCAGTCTTGACTCCTTCTTCGACTCTTTCTTCGATAGATTCTGGTTCGATGATCACTTCTCCTCCCGCTTCTTTCATCCCTTCCATCAGCCATTCTTCTTTAACATGCTGAACGACGACTCCGCAACTTGGCCCCTGGCATACTTGATGTTCAGTCCGTACTCTCCACTGCATCTGGAGCGTCAGGCATCCTATCGAGCACACAGAGAGCGAGGGGTCTTCTCTTCACTCATGTCGTCGTTGAAGCCTACTTCTGCACGCGACCCTGCCGAGCCGCAGTGGCGTGAGGCCTTTGAGGATCTACTTCGACTCGAGAACGGAAAACCGATGCTGGACCGCGAACCCAGTACGACACTGGTCAAGAAGGAATCCGGGACCGAATGGCTGAAGGGCCTGGTGCAACGTGGCAGCCTTGGCGATCGGTGGAAGTATGTTTCAGGACCGGAAGGCCAGGGTTGGTCAGGGATAACGCTCGAGAGCGCCGAGCCGACAGACAAGGATCGCTCTCGATCCGATGAAAGTCCGACACGGCAAACACAGGCTGAGGCCAGTTGGAAAGATACACAGACCGCACCCGAGACCGAACTGGACATGTACGACCAATTTCTTGCCGATATCGAAGCGCGCGAGCGCGATTTCTTTAAAGGAGTTTATGAAAGTCCACTTTTGCGGTCTCTCTTGGAGGAGAGACGAAGGCTGAAGGAAGAAATCGAGCCGTTTGAGAAAGAGGGCCCCAGCAAAGAGACCGATTCTTGGATAGATCTCGTTTCTGATGGCGACAAGAACACCGTTCCTGAGACTGCCCCCCAGTCGACCTCGGGGGCATCGACCACTGGCGAGACACGTCCAACGAGCTCAGCCACAGAGCAACAGCCCTACGTAGTTTCCACCCGGACGACGACAGAGCGCATTCGTCTCTCCGATGGCTCAATCCAGGCCAAGACGGTGAAGACCAAGCGGTTTGCGGATGGCCGAGAAGAAACAAATGAATCCGTTGAAGTCATGAATCCGCCTCCAAAATCCCAAGATTCGGTTGCTGGTCAGGAGGCTCTTGAGAATCAAAAGAAGAGAGGCTGGTTTTGGAGAGACTGAGAATAAGAGCATCATACTACTACTCGCACCAGGGCGGTTACATCTCTTTTGTCGTATTTTGTTTCGCATTTGGATTTAGCGTTTGCTGGCGTTTATTCCTTGTCCTATCCTTGTCATTCTTTCTCATCTCCTTGGAAATTCTGCAATGTGCCCAGATTTGCACATATCATACTTCAATTACTACCCTCTGGTGTTGGGGCGCTGCAATAAGTGGATGATATATGAACAGTGGACGAAGTTGGCCCGATCATTGCATCAATCAAAATCTTCTGCTGGATATTAAGTGAAAGTATATAGCTATATTGAGAGGATCCAGACTGCCAAACCAAATCAATTCTCAATTCTTCATCTTTGTACATCTGTGACAACGCTGTGGACGTTCGCAAATGTGACCGTTATGGAAGCAGGTAGGAAGCGTGGCACTTTCAATCTGCCTTGACACTCTTCTTCTGTGCCTTGCCAGCAGTCCACCCTCTGGATTCCCAGTACTTGACACTCTCTTCCATCTTCTTGTACGCCCATGTGAACGGCGGGTCTAGTCGACACGAGTCAGCGTTAACCCTAGCAGGCAAACACTCAGTTTGGGAGAGTAACTTACACAGAAACTGGCGAAGATCGTGTCTATTATCTTCAGGGGAGTATTGCTCTGCATGGTAGCTGGGCGTCAAGACAGTCATCTTGTGCCGGTTGATAGCGTAGTGGTAGAAAAAGTGACGGGTCTTCTCGTAGATCTCACGGGGGCTGTACTCGTTTCCCCAGACGTGGAGCAGCTTCTCGTACATTGACCAGGGTCCCAATTTTGCGACCTTACGCAGGTAGCCGAATGTGCCTAGTTCGGCGTAGGTCACGCCCATGTCGGCCTCATCTGACTGGACGTAAGTAGCTGTGATAGGCTCCAACTCGGCGGTTGGAGTTGCTGTTAAGAACTCATGCAGAATTGGAAGGTCGAATGAATCGCGAGCCCAGGCGATGAACTTTTTGAGGTCGACCTTGCTGATCGACCCAATAGGATTCAACTATTTCGCATTTGTTTAGTCAAGCCCCGAACAGAAGGTCTCTCGACCTGATATGAGGAATTGCACTCACGTCGGCACTGCTTGCGTCGTATTTGGTCAGGTAGCCACGCAAACTAGACAATGTTAGTCAGGACCAGCTATGGAGAATTCAAAATTGCCCCCGCTGTCGAAGCATTTGCCGCTCGCACGTACCATTCTAGAAAACAGTTAGTGGACTTAGACTTTCTCCTCACGAAGTCAAGAGGATCTCTTACCGTCTACATTGGAAGATGCGAGCACAAGCAGTCCGCCTCCACCTGGACGTTGACGAACAGTTGGGAGGAGCGAAGCAAACAAGTACGACAATACCATTCTCAAACGAGCCTGGACATTCTGTAACGCCGCATTTTCGGCTCCAGTACCGCCGTGAACTTTGAACCGGGGCTGAAAATTCGTGACCACAGTGAATAAGTTCGTGATGGCTGTCACAACAGTGTCGAAGTTGAAGTCGATATGATAGGACCCTATCTCGGTGGAGAGCCCCTTGGCCCGCTCTCTTGTTTCCTTACTCGAATTCTGGGTGCCCATGAAGCTGGTGTGGAATATGCGGCTAGACCAATGTTAATGTTCTTTATGTTCAAAGCAAGTCATAAGAGGCCGATGTCTAAGGAGCAAACTTACTTGCATACTTCCTGGCTCGTGCTGGGAAGCCAGGTCGAGCCCTCAGGTTCCGCACACAGCCTACGCACATCTTTGATAACTTGCTGGTTTCCCTCCGAGACTGCCTTGACGACTTCTCTGCACATAGAGTGTACGATAATAGCTGTAGCACAGCTGTCAATACCTCCGCTAAGGGGAAGGAAAAAACCAGCAGCGCCGCTTCTTCGCAGATAGTCCCAAAGCCAACAAGCTGGACCGAGGGAAATCTCTTCCTCTGGAGCGTGGTACTTTGCTGTTATCGGCTCAGATGGGACAAGGCTGGGCTCGGCATCATCGTCCGAACGGGAAAGCCTTACGTCGAGATCAAGCCGAACAAACGGGGGTTGCCTGGTAGCCTGCATGTTGCGGCTAGAGCTAGCGCGATAGGTCCGAACCTGCCTGTCATCAGTACCAGAGACAAGAGTAAGACCGTTGCAGGTGACAGACTTCTTCGATATCAACAGTCGCCGTAACTACCTCCACATCTTTCAGGGAGAATTGTGAACCCTGGGCAACAATATTCCCGTTGATGACAATCATTGCACAGCCGTCATAGTAGAGTCTATCACCATCGCAGCCTTGCTGGTTGGCATAGAGGTAGATGCCTCCGCTCTATATCTGTGTATTAGTTCGTGAAACTAGAAGGCAAAAGACCAACGCATTTACCAGTTTAGTAGCCTGGGTGATGAGATTCACACGAGTGTCAAGCTTCTTCAGCTCATGATGGCTTCCTGACGAGTTTGAAATAATCTCAACGCCTGGAGGGTAATGTGAGCAAGTGATTGTTTAGCAATAACCTATGATAGTATTTACCAGCCAGGCCGTACGGAATATGAGGACTTGATTTGAAAAAGTCAGTCAACTTGCTCGATAGCGGTATAGGTCAGCACGTACCCATTAGGAGTAAAAAGTTCTTCGCAGGTTTCAAGCCCTAAGCACGTGTCCCGTGTGCTGATGACCGCGTCACCAAAAGGCACCTTGTATTGGCCGGTGATTTTGCCCACGATCTTCTCCAGGTAATAGTCTTCAATCTCGCGAGGGCGCTGCCATGGGGCGAAATGCCTAAGCTCTCGATAGTTCCCGTCTGATCTCGCATCAACATAGTTAGCGAAAAGCTGTGCTTATGTGAGGAGAGAAACGACAAGGAAGAAGAACAGTATACCATTGGCAAGCCACATCTTCGGGCGAATGAGGATAATCTTTTTGTTGTAAAAGATCACACTACGCTCGTTAGCTCAGGAATTCCAACAGAGTAGAAACCGACTCACCGACAGTTGTATCGCACGTTCCGATGACGAACCGGCATGCCAACATCAACCACAATATCTTGACAGTCTGGGTGATCAATGACACGGGCCAGCATCTCCCACGAGTGTAGAAACGTGTCGCCTTCTAGGAAGCCATCGAGAACACCATATCCTGAAAAAAACTTAACAACCATTTGGTGAAAAACGTGATGGCGCTCAGTCCGTACCAGTGACCTCGAGCTCCGGACCAACACGTAGAGTAGCCCCGGCCGCTTTGGCTTGCCGAATACTCTCAATGATACGTTCAGCATTTCCTTCAAAATCCAAAGCCCATTGGTTAAGAGAGCTTTGCAGAGCAGAATTTAGCATCAATCCTTCGCAAGAATAGAAGTAATCAATCAAAAGACAGCGACATACCATGTTGCGAGCGTGACAAGATGCCCCATTGTGACCTCGCTTGTAGCTTTCAGGCCACCAGTTGAACTAGCTTCAGTATCGAGAGAGATTGGGACACCAATGGACGCCTAGGTAGGATACTTATATGTCAGTCCAGAAGTACGCATAAAGACACCTTGCCGGCCAATAAATGCTTGCATAGAGCTGCCTGCTCAATGCCGTGGCACAGGAGATAGCAAGATATCATGATCAAAACAAGCTAATGCAGCATTTCTAGGCCATCAATAAAGAACAATTACCTTTTACAAAGACAGTACAGTGCCTGATCAGAGTCAACTCCAGCTAGGTCCACCTTCTCATAAGCAAATGCGTATCAGATAAGAATTATTGGAGACTGCGCGGAAGTAACCATGACGCAGATCACGTGTGTGGGGAGCTTCCCTAGCTTACCTTTGTGCCCCGCGGCTGTTTTCTGTATTATTACGACAAATTGTGAAACTTCAAGGCGGAGATACCCAATTTACGGTAATAATTACGAGATCTTCGGGATTGCGCCGTGCTCATCCTCGGCCATAACCAGATGATTAATCATCCCTTATCATTTTATTATGAGGGACAGCTTAGAAGGAGTGGCGCTAGTGTGATGATATCGGGTTGCCATTTGTATTCTATCCAGAATCCTCCTCGGTTATTCTCAAGCCTCAGAAAAGCGATTTGTTAGTATTCGTCGAGGATTGCAGAAGACGAGCGGAATTCCTCCCAGCGACAGCACCATGTCCAACGGTCCCCAGATCCCCGCACCCGCCCATATACTGGCTGACTCAATGCTCTCGCGGCATTTTGGAAGAGAAACGGTGAACTACTTTTCCAGTGAGGATCTCTTCTGTGGCATAGTTGTTTTACTTGCTGCATATTCAACTGACACTTACAGGTTCGCCTCTAAACCGTCTCTCATTCTTGCGCTCTGAACATCCGTTCCTCTCGGCTGCCCTTAAGCATCCATCGACTCGCTTTGTACTGTTGAAAGATCTTGCGCCTCTCACCAAGAGTCCTTCTGAACTATATTACGCAAAGTATGACGAAGTACGGAAGCTTATGCCCGAGAACGCCTTCGACAAGTCCGAGGAGGAGATGATCAAGCAGTTTGACTCTCGAAAGACAAATGCTCAGCTCGTCTTCCTGGGACTTGATGAAACCAGGAAGCAGGACGGTCTGACTTGGAAAATCTACACTGGAGCTCCTTATTTCGCTTTGGATGTAACGCCGAAAGGTTCGGAGGAGCAGCAAGCCAACGCGAAGGACGTCATCAGCACTATGGAGGCTAAGAGCCTCAACTTCTACCAGTCAAGAGTGGTGATGACTTTCTCGGCGGACGAGGGTATGTGAACTACCGACAACGACAACAGTGAGAAACCTACTGATTTTGACTTGCAACATCCAGCTGCCATATATGCGCAGGCCCGTGCGCTGATTGACTGGAATACCCGGAATACATTCTGCGGCACCTGCGGTTACCCTACGCTTTCTGTGAACTCGGGGACGAAACGAGCGTGTCCGCCGACGGATGCTGCTCTCGCAGAACAAGGAAAGCAGCGACCTGAGTGCAACACTCGCACAACATTGTCAAATCTTTCCTTCCCCCGCACCGACCCGACTATCATTGTCGCTGTCCTCTCGGCCGACGCTAAGCGGATTCTCCTCGGCCGCTCCAAGCGCTTCCCGCCGAACTGGTACTCGACCCTGGCTGGTTTTATTGAGCCCGCAGAATCGGTCGAGGACGCTGTTCGGAGAGAAGTGTGGGAGGAAGCTGGTGTCACGCTTTCGCGTGTCGTGATCCATTCATCTCAGCCATGGCCGTACCCGGCCAATCTTATGATCGGTGCCATTGCTCAGGTCAGCGATCCCGAGCATGAGAAGATCAGCCTGTTGCATGACCCTGAGTTAGAGGATGCAAAGTGGTTCGAAATCGAGGAGGTGGAGGAAGCCTTGAGGATTGGAACAAGTGCGTTGGGAGAGACGGCTGGTCCCGAGTACAAGGGCGGTTTGAGACTTCCTCCTCCTACCGCCATAGCCCACCAGCTCATAAAGGCAGCCATCACGGGAGATTACATCACTTCGAAAGAATCAAAGATGTAGTGGATCAGGCGTGTCTTCCCAGGTTACAAGTGCTTCACGGCTTCTCAGCAAATGCTGTATATATCAGTGCCTTGTATAGACCGTAATACTTCCATAGACCGTAGCTTATGAGGACAGAGCCATAGACCGCGGAATTTAATGACACACATACTTGTCAAAAAAATAGTTTGATAATAATACCTCGCTTTCCGGCTATGATGAGGGCCTGTGATTTGATCGCCATCTCCAAGAAGCCAGCTTCCAGTACGCTCATGTCTGAACCATTAATCCAAAAAACTACCAGTGCCTGATAGACATCGAGGGCTAGACCACGAACCAAATACATCATAAGATTATCAAGACTAGAAGGGTGAATCAGAGATTCGCATATAGCGTCCCATCTCTGAGTTCATGTATACTTTCTTTGTCGGACGGCGATCCGACCTCGGCATACCTTCTTCCGTCCCTCAATTCGTGAATTGTTATCCTCCGGTGGGATTTCCTCCGTTTCGAGCCTCTGTTAGAAACAGATGATTCCCCGCGTACTTCTCGAGATGCCGAGTCAACGCTACCCGCGTCACTGTGCGCAACACTACTGACAGGCGTTGCCTCTCTGCTAGCCGTCTGTACCGATGCCTGAAGCTGGTAATCCGCTACCATGGCAATGCCAACTTCATGGTACCATTGCCGTAAGTCAGTGGCGTATGCACTTTCCTCATCGCCGTATTCGACCGGAGGGCCGGTAACTTGCGCTTCTTTGCTGGCGTTGTGGAAAACAGCCCATGCGCTAGTGTCGACGCTGACAAGCATTATAGAGTGATTGAAGCTTTTGACCTGGAAGTTGCGAAGCAATATGGCGTCGCCTTCTTTGACAGAAGGAAGTGCAGATTTGTAAGGGCGAAAAATTTGTGCATGAACGATAGTGCCTGCCATCGATGGGTCAGTAACCTGGAGTGCCAATGTAAAGTCCTTCTTTCCTGTAGTGGCCCGACTGGTTGGAGAAACCTCGGACACAACAGAGATCGTATCTATCAGCGAATTGTAATGGTCGATAAGCGTAGCAAGAGGAGCGAAGTAAGAATATTTGCTTCGCAAACCGGGATGGTGACGATTTACAACCGACGGCATTCGTTCCAATGACTGTGCTGAAACCCCCCAATCATGAACTCCACTTGGGAGTTCGTCTCCAACGGAAGAGATCGCATACTCTTCATCATGAACAGATACGCCATCGGTCTGCGTCTGCCGTTGCTGTTCGGCCAGGGTCGAACTCATTCGCACATTATACTCGTTTGTTGATGATACATCAGTCTCTACGGACGTGGTGGATATGTGCAACACCGTTTGCGCCAGAGCATCGGCATGACCGTCGTATTGGGTACTGAGACCTTGGGCTACCTCCTGTGTCTGTTCGGGTGTCGGTAGAAAGTCACCGATTGGAATGGCGGTAGGAAGATGATGACTAGGCGCAGTCAATTGTGAAGCATCCGGAGTGACCAATTGTGGAGCTTGGGGTGAAGGCTCCTGGACATGAGATGCAAGTTCTGCAGAACTGTCAACGGGTTGTGGGGAGGCAGCGCCATCGGAGAATGGCTCCCTGATACCCTCATCCTCCAAACCAGGCTTTTCCGGCCCTGGCTCAGCGTGAGCATCGGCCTCCGGACTGTGCGTTTCATCCTCGCCAGTACCTCCTAGTCGATACAACTCAGGATCAATTGCTAAATCCTGAGCCCGCGGGCCAGATTCAGAATTGGTGTAAGGTCCTTGTGTAGATTGCGCGACAGACACCCGAAGATCGGCGATTTCCTGATCCTCTGGGCTTTGCGGTACACCCGAAGTTGCTTGTAGCACCTCGTTACGTGTGTCGGAGATAAAGTCGTTTTCAATATCAGCTTCCTGCTGAACTTCGCTCTGCACTGGTTCCGCCAAAGCTGAATATCTTTCGGCATCTGCCTGGACTTCCATTCGCTCTTCTGCGACGAAATCCTCCTCTGAAGGCGCATCCTCCATGAGTTCATCTCCAGCATTATCGCGCGCGGCTATTTCACCCTGCATAGACTCTTCTTCCGCTTCGTCATCCCCCGCTTGGTCATCTTCAGCCAGCTCATCCTCGGGCCACCCTTCTGCTTCCGAACCGACAGAGCTTCTGTCATACACCTCGTCCTCTTCAGCTGATGTTGCAGATGACTCTACATCAATACCTGCAGCAGCATATTCGGCCGATGGCGTATGAGTCTGCGTCGGAGCACTGACAACAGCCTCGTCTTCGCTGTCGCTGTCTAAGACAATGACCTCCGGATGAACAACTTTCTCCGGCCTAGCTGCAGAATCTGCACCTGCATATGACTCGGATTCAGATTCTACACGATCATAGTCATCCTCGTACGCCTCTTGCTCATCCTCAAGCTCCGATTCTTCTTCGTCTTCCTCCTCGTCCTCCTCCTCCTCATCCTCATCCTCTTCCTCTTCTTCCTCCAATACCACCACCCGCTCATCTCCACCCTCGATGTCCTCTTCATCGAACGTCCCTTCGTCTTCGTAATCACCTTCATGTACGTCTTCGCTGCTCTCCTCTTCAAAATCATGAGGATGAACCCTTTCCTCTGCAGCCTGTCGTTCTGCAGCCGAAAAGGCCTCAGATCCGGTATCGGACCCATCATCGTCTTCCAACGCGCTATTCGTACCAATCGCAATCTCCTCGACCTCGGAATCTTCATAACGCCTTGTACTATCTTGGTGAAAGTCATTGACTCCGAAGGAATCAGGTGGTCGTTGATTTCGTTGTTCTTGAACATCCTCATATCCATCCTCTTCGACTAATTCGTCCTCTTCCTCCTCGGCTGATTCCTCTTCAAATGACTCTTCTTCTAACTCCACTTCTGACTGTTCTTCCAACTCATCTTCGCTGCCTTCATTATTCTCTTCGTCCTGGACTTCTCCCCTTTCTTGGTCGATGCCGCTCTGTTCTGATTCTTCCTCAGCGACGTCCCTGATATCGCGGCTAGCGACCTCGGCGGGCTTCTCCGCATACGACTGATCCAAAAAGACCGGCGGAACGTTGGATATCCGTTTCTCAACATCTTTGCGGTGTTGCGCAGGTTCTCTATCCTCGAAGGGCATAACGTCGGCTGCTGAAGTGTCCTTCATATCCCTTTGACCTTCGGCTTCCAAATCGATAGAAGCGTTTTGAGACACCAAAAAGAATTTATTCCTTGCGACGGCCTGCTGAGGGGTCGTAACAAGCGGTTGGAGCTCTTGCGTCGTGGGAACGTCAGGCTGGACACTAGATATGACGACGTTTTCTTCTTCAGTCATCTCCACTTCTTCTCCTTCTGCAGCGGATTGATCTAAGGAAGTTTGCACATTGGAAGCAACAGGTGGAAAGTAGTCATGCGCACTACTCGACCTAGTGACTAGTGGTGACGGAATCGGCAGTCCTGGAGAAGGAATAGGATACAGGCGTGGCGTGTCTGTTGGATATTGGAAGTCGGAACCTGAAAATTGCTGCCTGGCAAAGTGCTGGGGAAATTCAGGCGCACGTAGTGGTTGAGCAAATTCAGGACTTGGCCTGGTTGGCTGTTCGGCCATTCGTTCTGTGCTCATTATACCAACATCCAGTGCTTCATGGTCGACGTTTGCGACGGTATCGGCGTCTTCTGGAGCATTTGGCACCGTAGCGGTCACTGTGGAAATCTCTTGAGGTAGTGTGGTGCTGTCTATATGATCTTCTCCGCCAATATCGGACTCGTGAGTTCCATCTTCTTCAAACATCCACGTCCAATCTGCCGGTACCTCTTTTTCTCCGGGACTTGCGGGTTCGTCAATGACACGCCAATCGGCGCCTCGAAAGCTAAAACGAGGTCGTTTCCGCCCTTTGCCAGGAACGAACCCATCTTCTTCAGCGAATGGATCATAGGCCGAATCCACGAGACCACCGAATGATGTACGTGTTCGCTCCACGAAGGCGGGAGATCTCCAAGCTTCGAATGTAGCAGCTGAAGTCGCATCGCTGCGCTCAACACGTCCATTAGCAATCGGTGTAGCTGGCGGCGCAATCGCATCTTCTGTGTTCTGAGTTGGAACTGTAGAAGGGTCAAGTTTCACGGTAGAGAAGTGTTGAGACGAACGCCAGATCTATAGCTCTGATCAGTTTACACTGCTGTACCCTCTTTGCTACGCGCTCAACGCACCTCAAGTAGCACGCCATCATCAAGCTGTACATCCAGAGGCACACACTTTCCAGGCGTCTGAGCTACTGCCTCACTGGGCACGAATTTTGACCCAGCCAAGCCTAGATAAACATGGTCGCCGATTCCAACTTGAGACTTGGCTACCGCTTCTGCAGCACATCCACGAAAGACCACTTTTACTTGACCATTGTTTCGTCGGAGGCGGAAGTCGGGCTCAGCTAACAAAAGGCTGAAAGATTTGTTCGACGACGAGTAAGGCCATACTAGGGTAACGACCGCGTGTATTGAGCGTTCTAAGATCCGATCTGCGTCCGGCGAGATTCGCGCAATAGGTATGGCGGTCGAACGCAGGGATTCAGAAACCGGAGGTTGTTCGGGGGAGTTCATCGTCGCGGCCGCGGAGCGGATTAGCGGAATCGGTCAGGCCTTGATCAACGATATTGCATTTTCTTTACTGTTGAAGGAAATTGCTCGTTCGTCAGAAACTCATCTGTAGAGAGGAAATCGAGAGTATTAGAGCAAGAGCAATGTCGCTTGGGGTTGGAAGACCAACGATCCCAAGGGGAGAGCACACGATGATTTTCTTGTGTTTGTTGCGTTAAGCTTCGGAAGGCTCTAAGTTACATCACTGAGGCAGGTATTCCCCCTGTAATAATACCATACGACAGCTCTTTTAACCCCGATAAATAACGTAATTTATGTATCATTCAAAACACGGCTATCACAAGGCTCGTGAAGGCTTCAGGGGCTACGGAGTGAGTTGCAACGGAATGACTCTGGGAGATGAGTGCAAACGATCCTGTCCAAGGTATATCTGGCTGAACCCTTTTATCGGGCGTTGAAAGGCCAAATCACGGCATCTCAATGTCATCAGCGGGGCTAAATTGCCGATGAGTTTCGGGTGGTTTACTTTTTTAAGTCCTACTTAGCATCCTGCTCACACTCGGCCAAGAAGCCGGACCGCATGATGCTCCTTGTATCAGATCTATCTTATACTAATCCTAACAAGGCCCCTGACCATGACGATTTCACTGCCAGTCCGTCGGATAGCCGTAATCGGTGCCGGGCCGTCTGGTCTTTCTGCGGTAAAGTACGAGGACTTCCGATACTGTGGCGCATCCTGCGGTCATATCACCCAAGTCTTTTACTTACAGTAACTAGATATCTGCTCGCTGAGAAGTGCTTTGATACGATAGATGTCTTTGAACAGAGAGTCTCAATTGGCGGAGTCTGGAACTATACTCCCGGTGCCTTGAAAACAGGCCTGGTGACTCAGGTGCCACAATTGAACCCAGACGGACCACTTGAAGAGCCTATATGGTATCGAACTGGGAAGACAGAGGAGACACGCCAGTTTGACTTTATCTCTCCCATCTATAGCACCCTCGATACCAATATTCCGAAAGAACTGATGGCGTATTCTGACAAACCATTTCCTGCCGACTGCCAAGTCTTACCGAATCATTCCACAGTAAAGAAATATCTGGAAGAATATGCAAAGGATGTTAAAGACCTCATTCAGTTCGAAACTCAAGTACTTGATGTCAGACTAGAAGAGCCGACCAAGAAGGCTTGGGTGCTGACAACAAGAAATCTGCGTACCGGGGCTAAGCAGACCGGTACATACGATGCGGTGGTGGTAGCCAGTGGGCATTTTGATGTGCCATACTTGCCCGACATCAAAGGCATTGAACCATGGAATACGAAATATCCAGGCGTGATTTCCCATTCCAAGTACTTCGATTCACCCGAACAATTTCGTGACAAAAAGGTCATTGTCGTTGGAAGTTCAGCCTCCGCCATAGACATCGGGGCTCAAATAAACCGGGTGAGCAAGGGCAAAGTGCTCGTTTCTCAGCGAACAGAGTCGTACTTGACGCCTTCTGCTTCCGCAGACAAGAGTTACTTCCCCGAAATCGTGGAATTTCTCCCGCCCGAGTCTCATCAACGAGCAGTACGCTTTGCAGATGGCAGGGTTGAGATGGACATCGATGCCATTGTTTTCTGTACCGGCTACTTGTACTCATTCCCGTTCCTATCGTCACTCGACCAGCCTGTTATCGGGGATGGTCGCAGGACTCTGAATACCTATCAACATCTTTTCTACATCTACAATCCTACCCTCGTATTCCCTGTCCTTCCCCAGAGAGTGATTCCGTTCCCGTTATCGGAAAATCAAGCGGCAGTCTATGCCCGAGTTTGGTCAGGACGCCTTGCTCTGCCATCAATAGCAGAGATGAAACAATGGGAGGAATCCACTGTCGCTACAAAAGGCGATGGCACAAGATTCCATCTGATGCACTTTCCCTTGGATGCTGATTATATGAACTTCCTTCATGACTGGGCAAATATGGCCAAAACACGCCAAGGTCTGATCAATAATGGCCATGGCAAGCAATGCAATTACTGGGGAAAGAAGCAGAGGTGGATGCGACAAAAGTTCCCCGAGATCAGAAGGGCCTTCGTTGAGAAGGGTGAGGAGCGTCGCAATATCAAATCCATCGCAGAACTTGGTTTTGATTATGATGAGGATTGGAAGGAAAGGCAAGAATAGAGACGCTACATGAACTATAGACATACGAGAATAGAGCATAGACAGAACCCTTTTCCGTATTGATTTTCTCTCCAGTAACTCCGATACCTTCTGAATCTATACTCCGTTGCGACAGTGAAGCTATCAGGGTGGAGTTTTGGGTACTGATAAGCGCAAGCCTATCACGTGTTGGCGATCATCCGCGTAGCTCCCTGTCGACCAAGTTGCTCATACTTGAATAATTCACTCCGCATTACCTCTCTATTCACACAAAGGTCCATTGCTCCTTGGTATGTCAATAGCTTCCTCCTTTGTTCTTACAACAATGACTGACTCAGCAACTAGCTCTTATATTTAACCACGCCATCTTTTCTCACGCTCCAAAAGCTCTCACTCCGTCATGGATTCCTACAAACTGGCTGGGCTCATTGAACGCGCATGATGTGGCGCAAGCGCAAAGCCGCTTCACCCGCATCTCCAGACCCTGCAGAAATCTCCAGAAAGAAAAAGTGGAAAGAAGCCCATGTCATCTCGTCAAGTGACGATGAGAACGACGACAGCAGATCTAGCTTAGACGAAGACGAATGGTACATTAACTGCATCCTTGACGAAACCGAATCACAATACCTTATTGACTGGGAGGGCCCCTGGCCACCGACGTGGGTGAGTTGGGCGAAGCGTCCGTCTGGAAGCAGTTGGCGCTTGGAGACAAAGTGGTAGTCGTCTAATCGGGGTACATACGGACAGGAACCCAAAGAAAACGCCAGCGACGCCGCGATAAAAGTGTGGGAAGAAAAGAATAAGAGGACGAACAACAGCCTGTCGAGAAACCATCCCGCTAATCCGTCGCCAATTCATTCAACTGACCCCCACTCCGAAAGTCGAAGCGCAGAGAGTCCAGGCCTTGTCTTCGCGGAAAGCCGAATCGAGCCGCCGCGATCTGACGACCGTTCGCCCTCTCCATTATTCGTACCGATCGACGAAGGACCACATTTAGAGGTGAATACTAGGACTATCGAAGTGCCAACGCAACCCGATCAGCCGCCGTCTCTCTCACAGGAATTGAAAGGTCCCCGACCAGGTGCCACTAAAGAAATCTACCGCAGACCTCCTTTGTCAGTCACAACTCCAAACCATTCTGGGGTTGTGTTCGAGTACATTACTAGATCATCGATACCGTCCAGATATCGACTTCCTGGCGAAATCACAGAGCCCAATTCTCCTGTAGAACCTAAGGTGGCTCCGAGCGTTATTCGCGCTACTCAGACTCCCTCTCAAACACTAGCCGGCAATCAAAACAGACCAGTGGACGAGATAGCGGAGACGCCACCCTCTCCGACAAATATTCCAAAAAGCCAGGGTACACGCGTCACCTCGGCGTGTTCGCAGACATCAATTATCGCAATCAGTCAAAAATCTAACTCCAGCAGCCTAGGCTCTCAGGTCTTATCAGGTACTTCCTGGTCAGCAGGTTGTTAATTTAACATTTCCATTATTGCATACCAGGCTAACGACTCCAGGCATATCAGGAAGTTCCAGTCTTGCCGGTAACACCGCTGTTCGTCCCGAAAGTTCCGTGCCTGAGACAGTTTTTTCACATCAGTCGCAGAACACAGGTCAATCACCTGAACAAAGTATAAACCCCCGACCAATACCCTCGAAACGGAAGGCCTCCGCATCCGTGGCTATCGAAGCTGTGACAATGGATATCGGCACGGGAGACAGAGAAACGCCCTCTCTGGCGGAGACCATGGAGAAATATAGCCAATTCGAGGGTTCGACGCCATTAGAAAAGATTCGAAACGCACATGCTCAAATACGCGCGAGAACCAATCCTGGAACTCCTTTGAACGCTGATGCTAGCGTCACTCCGTCCTCGGCTGGAGATATTGAACCATCGCCCTCGGTGCTCATACCGGAAGTTACGGCACCTCTTAGCGTTAGGGTTGATAGAGAAGATGCTGCACACGTAACTCATGCTGAGGGAGAATTAAGTGCTCCTGGCTCACTGGTACGACCCACGGAAATGGGTCCTCCTCAACAACCTATTTTGCAGACAATCCAACCCAGCGCCCTGACGGTCAGCCATCAAGAGCAAGCGATCCCAGGCTCTGTCCAGCTTGGGCCATCAGAGTTTGCCGTGCCCCTCCCGATGGATTCAAGGGTCAAAGATGATTATGAACGGATATTGAAAGACGAAGCCCAAAGCATCGACGAGTTCCTTAAGACGTTCGCGCTCCAGGCCGAAACGTCCAGGTTAGAGGTGAGTTCAATGCACCGCCTCGTCGATCAACATCTAAATGGTGAACAGCAAGAGCGTTTGATTCCCAGAATGAATAGCCTACTTGAGCGTTTGAGCAATGCTTCAACCCACCCTGATCTGAACATTACCGAACATATTAAAGACTCGGATTCGGACCTAGCCAAAGAGGCTGCGTGGGCTGAATACTCAAGCGCGAAGTTCTTACTCCTGGGATACCTGATCAACAATGCTAGTAACCGTGATCTGCACTTGGTCGTCATGGTCCACGGAGCGAAGACTCTGAAGATACTGGAGCGCTTTCTTATGGGCAAGGGCCTTTCGTACACCCGGCCTCGCTACGAGACGGGAATTGGAACGAATTTGGAAGTCTCCATGGTGAAAGAATCACTGAGTTTTGGCATCCAGTCAACAATCGACGATGGCATTATGGAGACTTATAAACCCCCGGCTGCAATCATCGCACTTGACAGTTCCTTCAACGCAAAGAGTCCCTCGGTCGAACACATGCGAACAACCTATGCTCGACATGGGAACCTCCTCCCCGTGATTCGACTGCTTGTCTCAAACTCCAGCGAGCATGTTCAGTTATGTTTTGCCAACTACCCAGAACCTCAGCGTCTACGCTTAGTGGTTCAATATACCTCACGTCTTAGAGACGTGGTAGGCGATCTCCAGGATGATGCCCTAGGTGCTTACGAAAATTCCGACGAAATCATATCGAGTCTTCTTTCGGACAATTTCAATGCTCACTGGTCCTTACCTTCCATTGAGCCACTCCACATCGTAAGCTCCGATGAGCTCAACTCCGCGCTAAGTACTTACCAGAACCGCCCCGATACCGTGATGTTGCCTACCCCGCAGATTCCAAAGCGTTTATTCGTTAGTCACTGTCCATCCTCTTATCATGGTGAATTGACCGGCTAACGTTCTCTCAGCAGGTGGAAGATACTACTGAAGAGACACCTAAAAGGCCGAGGATGGAAGAGTCTCAAGAAGCCAGTCAAATTACTGAAGCTTCGAAGGAATCCATAAAGTTTCCCAGCCAAACATTGGATAATGATCTGCGGGCTTTGGAGTCACATCTCCTGCAGTTGAAAACATCTCATGCGGCTGAGCTTGACAAACTCCAAAAAGCCTTGGCCGATGCGCAATCTCGTCTACAAGAACGAGAAGGGATTCTCTCATTGCTCCAACATCGCTATGAGAGTCGCACGACGGAATTACACAAAGTGCGGCAAGAGCGTGATCGCTTGGCGGAAACCAAAGCTTTGTCTGAGCAGAGACTCGAGAAGCAAAAGGAAGATATTATAAAACTAAAGGATGAACGCACTCAGTTAAGACATGACCTCGAAAAGGCACGGGAAGCTCTAAAGGCCGGAGGAGGAAGCATGGCAGAATTGGAAAGAGCACAGGAGGAGATCCGTCGGCTGACCAAAGACAATGCTTCCCTGGAGCGAAAGGCAGAATACGAGGCAAAGCAGGCAGAGTACACACGCGAACAGTACCAGACCGCGTCCAACGTGGCTGCACAATCCGGGAACGAGATCCTGCTGCTTAAAGAGGAGAATGAGTCGTTGAAGCGCAGGGTTGCGGACGATGCCAGCCGTCTCAGAGAACTCAACATTCAGAGTGATGAACAGCGACATCTTTCGCGCGTCAAAGAGTTGGAAACCATGCTCGCATCTCGCGAAGATCTCTTGCGCAGAAAGGAGGATGAGCTGCGAGAATTTCGAAAGAATCGACCTTCGACCAGGTCAACGAGCACGCAGCCACGAAGCCCTAAATGGACAGCGGCAAATAGCCGTCCAACCAGCCCAGGGATCAATAATCACAATGGTTCGGGGTACTCAGGACGAGGCAGTGGATTGCGGTTTAGCTCTGAGATGCCTCTGTAGTCAAGATCGTGGGTGTCATACTCCCTGATCAATCTGGCATTTGCTCCATTGCCAATTTCACCTGTATCTACCGTTGATGATCGAAATTGGGTTCCCATGCATCTCGAGGCTACAATACTGACTGTATTTCCCCATAAGGTCATTTCGTGATTATCTATATGGATTGCCTCCGGATGCATTTCCTTATTGTTTTCCCTTTCATCTTGTGACGGCCTCGCATACTCGGACGTTCTGATCGGATTTTTCTGTACATTTCTCAGTACTGTTGGTTACTTACTGCTTGGCTATAATGATACCTCGTGGTTGTCTAGTTCTTCTATAGAATTCCGTGACGATTTCTCATGCTGCACTTCAGGCTGACACCAAATACCAGGAGGTTGCGTTCTACAATCGGACACTGAATGAGCCTTCGCCAATCTTTATGTTACCGGTCGAGTGTGTCCGGCAATCCAATGCACTCAAAGGAGCAATTGGATCCTCGAGGAATGTGGGACGCGTATGTGCCCTTATCAGGTAGATGTGAATGAAGAGGGACCCTGTGGATCTCCCGATGTGGCGCCAACGTATACACCTAAGTTAGACCCGGATATCGGTTAAGGGTGACAGATGGGTCGGTGCGGATAACAGCCAGCGTTTTGTTCCAGGATATAGGCGGCGATTTCGATCTATCATTATTCAACAGTCGAATCTGTTGTCCTGATTGGTACGTCAGGCATTTGTTTCTGACGTTGCTATCTCACTCTTGGTATGCGATCAAGGTCACTCACTACTGTGGCTCCATTGGAACCCGGCATTGTGCTGTCCATGGGTAAACCTGCGGGAAGCGGAGTCTGTAAACCATGGGTCGACTATGAAGATGCGTT